TATAATCGACCGAATAATTACGTTCTCTCTTTAATAGCCAATCTGGAGAATCGATTTCTCTGATCGCAAAGAATCGGTAATTAGACGTTCGTTCACGATAGCTAGCGAGACGACGGTGGCTCTCGAAAATCTGGAACGTTGGTCGTCGGTGAAATTTTCACGGATGGTCGATTCCTCGACGATCCATCCAACGAAACCTGGCTTCGATTGCAACGCAAAAAACGAAACCTTTATAAAGTAATATTCTCATTAAAACCTCAGCTTCTTCTTTGGAGATGATCCACCTTTAGAAAATTATCTCATCCTCAGTAAAGTTACATTGATTTTTAGAAATTTTTAGAAATCAATGCAATTGCTTTCTGAAAGGTATACGAGCTACAGTTCACTATGCAGGAAGCAATAGAAGAGCATGATATCGTACAAAGAGCGTGAACTGAAGGGGAGAGAAACACTTGTATGCAAATGCATAAATCTGGTGCGAGCTTACCTCCTTTTGGAACAATACATGCCCTGTTTTGTTCTTTAATCTCTACGCATCGCGTTAATTAGTAAGCGACGATGATAATGAAGCAACTTAAAAAGTATAACGTGGAATAATTGCGAATATAATAAAAGTCTCTCATCAGCGTAATTGCAACGCAAATGACAATAAAGTTAAAATACCGTAAAAACTATTCGCAAAGGAATGTAATCGGATTTTCAATCGATCAATATTTTCACTTTGCCGTGAATTGATTGTGAAACTTGTTCCAAAGTGTCAACCAAGTGTAAAATTTCAGATCGAAACCCTATCTTGGGATATAATGATCCTTTTTTCGAGATGCGCGAATCGAAGTTGCGCGCATCTACTCGAGTTTTAAGTTCTGCAAAATACTAAATCGACGCTCGAGAAAGTTCGCGACTGTATTGCCTGTTAAGTGTTTCGCGTGGAGAAGAGTAAAAAGAAAGAACGGACGAAAAGCGTTTCCAGCCGCGAGATTTAGAAAATGTATCCGACTTACCGCGCCATTGCGTTTTACGTTTCTATTTATGTCAACCGTACTTTCCCTTAGTCGTTACAAGTGTCACGGGAACTCGAGCAAATACTCGCCTGGTTCTCTCCATTGTGATTCAATTATATGCGGAATCGGTGCTGGGTCGTCTCGAAAAAATTCCATTCTGGTTAACACTAATTGCATCCATCGAAGAAAGTAAATTTGAATTTCAGATTACAGTAAATTGTAGTTTTGCACTGAATTTAAATTGTGAGTGGCAATACCGATATACGTTTCCATCTTGGTTGTTGAGGAAGTCTTAACGTGCATATGTTGAGTAATGTTAAAAAATTTTGTTCTTGAAAAGCATCATTGGTGCACACTGTCACGAATAGTAAATATTTCTTTGTAAATGTCCACTTGAGAGTGACGGTCGATTGAAACTGTTTTTACGAAAAATAAATATAAACAATTTCAAATCGATTCGTCTAGAATTGACGGAGAAAGTGGTGCAACCAGTTTAAAGAACATCGGTTAGAAAAAAACCGTGTTAAAGTTCTCGTGCCTCGCAAAAAAATCTTCACAACTTTTCTATTTGCACAATTTCCAACTGAATATTGCAGAGACGTGTTCTTAAAAGGTCACATTTTCAAATTACGTAAAAAGAAGTCAATTTTCGCGTTTCATCAAAGTGTTGTCTCTTGTAAACACTTCCACGCTCGTGACACTACATAATCGTTCAGTATTGCGGTTACATTGGTTACTTATTTGGTCACCTTATTACAAGATCCATACCGACACAATCGAGAAAGTGCAATACGATTTCTTAGAAGTCTCTTACCACACCAACGTGATCACTGTTGACGATCCTTGCCATCTCATCTCGGGGTATTGACCCTCGAGCAGTGAAAGATCTTAGCACACCTGTTATTTGTGTATAAACTCGTCCATTAGTTGATTACTCGCTTCGATAGTTTCGAACAACCGTAATTTCACGTTCTCGATAGAAATTTGAGGCATCGTCTTCGACAAACCATCCTGACACGCGTTGCGCCAATTATAGTTGCTTAAATCGCAGAAGCGAGACTGCCAATTTATAGCCTAATGAAACTGACCTTTTCTATGCGCCTCTGCGTGCGTTTAACCATTGCACGTTGTTGATCATCGATGGCTCGTGTTTCTTCCTGGTTTTCTCTGTTTGTACTGTTCTCTGTACCTCTAGCCATTAACGTTTTATTATACCAAAGGTTTCATCTTGTTGGTAAAAAAATAAATTAAAATAACATTCTTGTATCAAGATTCTTTCGATGTGACAATTATTTTTGAAACTATTATTAATAGAATGGGAATAGTGACAGAATATAACAAAATTTAATCAATCTTCGTGAGACTGTAATTAACACCAAATTAATTAAGAATATTCAAAACGATCTATTAATGTTTATTAACTGGTGTTTTGGAACTTTAAATGAGGAGCCAAAAATACTCAGATAAAGAATATTATTGGTATATTTTTTTGTACTCATCAGAGATTAATTAGTAATTAATAATTCAGAACATATTTCGCTTTAAAAATATACAGTAACTAATCATAAAGTGATTAAGATTCCCAGAAATATTAAATTATTAATATATTAGAATTTTTATTTTTATACTGTTATAGTCATAAAGAAAGATCAGTCTAATTAGCTTTCGTGAAGCTATAATTAATAATTTCCAAATTATTGAACTACTTACTAGAATCTTAATACTTGACTTAGTGTACGAAGAAAGAAGTATAATTTTAAGAAAACTCTGTAGAAAAAGATTCATAAGGCTGTAATAAATAATTGAATTAGAAATTCCTAGAATTTTAATCTTTGAACTGTTCTGAAAGAAAATAATATCTACCCAACCTTCGTCAGGTTCTGTAGAGAGCAAAAATAACTCGATACTGTCCGCATTCTCTTTACTCGAGTTACCACATTCTCTTTAACCCGAGACTGATCCTTCTTTCACCCCTGAATTCGTCTCGACTAACGCGTCTGTCTATAACTGACTGTTTCTACTCGTGCTGGAACAGACGCTGCTGCGATTCACTTTCTACCAGCTCTTCTCCAGCTCTCGTTTAATAGATTCGAGCCGAAGGAGATTCTAAAATTTATTAGTGTAGATACAGTGTCGAGTTCTCCCAACGGTTCGATACGGTATTAGAAAGTCCGCGGATATGTTGCTTGCATTGGGAACTTGTCACGGATATATATCCCTGCAGCAAATGTGATAGACATCCATGTTCCACAGGGAACGATTTCTCAATCATCGTCATCCAGATAGACGAGTAATTTAAAGAGTGGAGCAGACGTCAGAGGAATTATGTTCCCGTTCCTATCATGTCACGAAAGTCGTGGTTGCTGTGTGTAATTATGCACGCAAAAGAGAGGAATCTTGAGCAATTTCTAATGTAATAAAAAAACGTACCAAACTGTCCCAATCTGTCACGTAATTCTGCTGAACTGTTTTTTTTTTTTTTTTGTATGTTGTTACAACACAAATTTAAATAGTAGTTGAGTCTATTTTATTTATTGGAATAATATTTAATTTTAAATTAATTTGATTTTGTTACGAATTACTGCCTCCTAATAATTTATCCAAATAGTAATACTTCCTTTTAAATTAATTTCATTATAATTCTTTTAATTCAGGCGATTATATTCGTTATATTCATTCTATAACAGGGAAGTTCGCGATTCGCAATTTTCAATTTATCATCAGAAATTTGCTTGGTAATTTATTGAAGAAACCACAAGCTTTCTCTGGCTTTTACTGTATACCGGAAGTACCATCTTAATTAGAATGTCTGCATTGCAATTCTCTAAAAATGCAGCTAAATCGATAAGTAGATCCCTTCACTTTTGTTAACTCTTCGCGTAAAATGTATCTTCGCGTGCAATGAGTACATACATAAATAAACATAAATGACTTGTATAGAAGAATATATAAATTGTATGTAAATTATTAAGTACAGTCGATTAATATGAACGTCCCTGGTGATTCACTTATTGTTAGACAGGTGATCTTCGCAACTTTGCTATTTCAAATAATACGAAGAAATTGTTTATGGTAATCATATGCCTTCGAAAAGAGCATAATATCGGAATAGTTGGGAATAGTTTCATTATAGCTAGAGGCGTTGAGAAGATTTAAAGGTCAACAACGTTTTTTTTTAATGGAACGATGAACATTTTATGACAGATTTAGATAGAGTAATTTTTAGAATAAATAAACGAAAGTATATTGTTCTTCAAATTAATACTGATGGAAATATTTGTTATTTCAAATAACATCTAATGATAAAATAAATATATATTACTATTCTATTTATAACATAGTAGAAATAAACATTCATAGAAGTACTAAAATTAATTTGATCATCAAGTAGTTTGCGTAGGAAATAAATACCAATTTTGTCAAAAAAAAAATAATTTGGTACTCATTGAGTTCAGATGGAGTGTTTTTAGAGAAACGCTCTGTATAATGAGTACCTTGATTCAATAAGTATAAACTACCACCGCTATATACATCTACTATTATTTCTACTCACCGTTGGATGCCGTTTCGGACTTTGTAGTGAAATGTTGAATGCTCCATTTTAAAAATGAACGCGACTTTCATATTTCGATAGAAAGGAAAGATAATGAATGGCTAATTGTATAATAGTTTCACTGTCTGTCTCGATATTGCGCCTCTTTTCTTTCAAACATTTTTCCATCTAATGACTAATTAACGAGAATGTAAGGTTTTCAAGTTGGGTAACCGAATTTATGTTTGCATATATATGCAATTATGAATATTATGAAAAATTATGATTATGAAAAATAAATCGATATATCTTTCAGATTAGATGGAGGATATTGTGTATAATAGGAAGCAGAAGAAATAGAATAATATAGGAACCGATTAATCTTTAGATTCTAATCGAGAAATATTTTAATATTTTTTTTTCGATCAAGCATTACAAATTCATGCTAACACGTTGACTTTTTCCAGGTGTCCACTGGCAGAGCGACCTGGCTGCTGCTCGTCTGCCTGATTATACTCCTAGGCGTCCTCGAAAATGCAGAAGGTAATTTATACTCACGTATACTTCTTTTTATTTTAATTATTTCAAATCTTCATTTCACACGTGTATCCCTATTTAATATTTATTTCTTATTGTCTATAAGATTTATATGTATACATACCTTCACCAATTAAAGTAAACGCTTCTCTAAGAACGTGTTAAATAATTTACGTATTTGTCTTTCCATTTTATTGTTTCCAAATTTTACATACACATTTGATATATATATATATATGGAAACAAATTCGACTGTACAGGTGCAAGAAAGAGGTTCCGTAGGCCGACTACCGCCAGCCCATCGATATCGAACGACCAGGAAGTATCAGCTAGCGTGAACAGATTAAAGGTCACGCGAAATCGCATCAGCAACAAAAACAAAAAGAACGAAATTCAAACTGGCAAGACGGACGACTACAAGGTAGGTACGACGAGTGTATTTTTATAAAGACCTCCTTCTCTATAAGTGAAAGCACACTTCAGGTTCTAAAATAAAGTGACATTGAACTTTCAACGTACACCTGCTAGGAATTAAAACTTTATCTCGAAGAAGTCACCAGTTATGACACCAATGACACTCGTTTTGTTTGATGAAGTCTGATAACAACGCATGGACACTGATAGTGGAAAGATCTGTTTTAAAGTAAAAATGAATGTAGATCAAATTTGTCAAGACTATTTGCATTCATTAAAAATTAATGAAAACAGCACCTACAAATAATTAAAGATTAGCGAATTACAATCATATTTCAAAATACTAATAGTTTGACCAATATTCCAACTTGCAATTAATATTCCACATTCACTTTTCAAAGACAACCGTTGAAAAGTGCTGAAGAAAGGAATTAATCGTAGCACGATTTCACTGATTGCAGCTTGTATGTTATTATACAAATTGGTCTCAATACCGTACGAAGCTTGGGAAATTCCACCCTGAAGACATTCAACCCGACCTGTGCACGCACATCATCTTCGCGTTCGGATGGCTGAAGAAGAACAAACTGACCAGTTTCGAGTCGAACGATGAAACGAAAGATGGAAAAACTGGACTGTACGAAAGAATTATGACTCTGAAAAAGGCCAATCCTTCTTTGAAAATTTTACTGGCGATAGGTGAGCTCTATTTTTTCATCGATTTCTAGACAAAGAAAGAACATCTCAAAGGTCCGCAGGTTTCCTCATCTTTGTATAAAAATATCATCAGGACAGTTCGAGAGCATAAATACCTGGCTATGTCAAATGAAAATCATGAATGGCAATTAATTTAATAGTAGAATTTGAAAAAAATATTATTATTTGTAGAAAGATTGATTTAAGAGTACACATTTTAAGAATAAGATCGTCGAATACGTTCAAATCGCTCTTTTCACGCTAAACATTGGGAAAGCGTCAAGTTTGTTGATTTCGATCAGGTGGTTGGTCCTTTGGCACCCAGAAGTTCAAGGACGTGTCCTCGACGAGATACGCGCGACAAACGTTCATCTACAGCGCCATACCCTACCTAAGAGATCGAAATTTTGATGGTCTTGACATCGATTGGGAGTATCCTAAAGGAGGAGACGATAAGAAAAACTACATTCTTCTGTTGAAAGGTAAGTCGGGAATGAAATATCAAAAAACTGTTAGACTCCAAGAAATTACTCTTTTTTACAGACCTTCTAAGGGTCTTGGTATATCATCATTTACTTCCTTTCGTGTAAAGACACTTAATCCGAATATTTACAGAGCTACGAGAAGCGTTCGAGGCGGAAGCTCAAGAAAAGAAGATGCCCAGGCTTCTTTTGACTGCTGCTGTACCTGTTGGCCCGGACAACGTTAAAAGCGGATACGATGTTCCAGCTGTTGCAAGGTAAAAAAATCACCCTCAACTGGGAAGTAAGAAACGGGTTCATTTGAATGGAATTCCTGTAATAATACTCAAGAGGTTTTAAAGAATGCAATTATTGAGATCTTGCATCCCAACCATGAACGATTGAAGAAACAGCAGAAAGAAAGACTCGAAATTAATATTGCGCGGAGAGGGTGACAACTGACGATTATTACCATGTTTGTTTAGTTACCTGGACTTCATAAATTTAATGGCGTACGACTTTCACGGTAAATGGGAAAGAGAAACGGGGCATAATGCGCCTTTGTACGCCTCATCACTGGACTCCGAATGGCAGAAGCAGCTCAGCGTAGACAACGCGGCGTCGATGTGGGTTCGGTTGGGTGCACCTAAAGAGAAATTAATAATAGGCATGCCAACCTACGGTCGATCCTTCACTCTCTCGAATCCTGCGAATTTCCGTGTCCATTCGGCTGCCAGCGGCGGCGGAAAAGCCGGCGAATACACCAAAGAATCCGGCTTTCTTGCTTATTACGAGGTATTTACGAACGTCTGCTAATACTCCACTTTTCGCAGCGTAAACGTGCCACTTACCCGACGGAAATTGGCGTACAGTCCTCGGCACGAGACGTGGCGATGTTTTTCTCGGGGAAATGGCAGAGATAATGCCGACAAATTTTGCTCAGCTGTTCGTAGAAATTGCGGATGAGTTCGGGAAATATCCATTTCGATTGAAGAAATTACACGTCACTTTGCGGTATTCAAATAAACATTATCGTCCATGGGAAAAGAAACTCGGAGAGTTTTGTAATATTCGGGGTGTTTTGTTCTTTTTAAATTGATATTCATCAAGCTTGATTAGGCGAGAGCGATGGAAGGTCTAGTAAGGCATCGTAGGTGGATAGCAAATTGAAAATATTCCTACTCCTACTTGACTGTTTATTTATATAGTATTATACACTCGATGGTTTACAAGGCGTTGACCAATAAAAATCAAAATTCGTTGATTACGCGAGTACTGGCTTGCTCCTGGAACAAAAACTCAAAAAACAAAGTGTCTCCTCCAAAACTTGACACAAACAAAATAAATTAGTAAATCTAATTTTGATAATTAAGATATTAATATTTGTTTTGTTTCAAAGATCTGCGAGATGCTGCAGAATGGCGCGGCGTACGTTTGGGACGACGAAATGAAAGTGCCGTATTTGGTGCAAAACGACCAGTGGGTGGGCTTCGACGACGAGAAATCCATTCGTATTAAGATGGATTGGTTGAAGAGTAAAGGCTATGGCGGCGCGATGGTGTGGACAGTGGACATGGACGACTTCAACGGCACCGTTTGCGGTGGAAACGTCAGATATCCTCTAATTGGAGCGATGAGAGAAGAATTGCTGGGAATCTCGAGAGGTCCCAACGCGAAGGATGTGGATTGGACCACCGTGGCTGCTACCGTCACGGAAGTCGTCCAGAAGAAGCCCGAACCTTACAAAATACCCGTCTCAGAAGCTTTAAGCAAAGCTAAGAAGGTTCAGAAAGCGGCAACGCAGCTTGTTATCAATACTCCAACCAGTGGTGAGTGTTTATAATTGTAATACGTACAGTGGGTGTAGACAAAATTAATATAAAGCAAAAGAATTCCTTTGGTTGAACTAATGCAATGAAAATCGTTCAAAATGTAATCCTCTTTGAGAATTAATTATAGGAGAATGAATACAAGCCCTGACTTTTCCTTCTGCACTATGTTTACATGTATTGTTATGTAACTAAATTTGTTTAAATAAGACATGGAGAATGCTAAATAATCCACAGTCCAGTAATAATAATGATTAGAATAAACTTATTAAAAAAATTCAGATTTTTCTTAACATTACAAAATTATATAAAATGCATTTAAAGAATTATGTTGTATAGAATATAAGTAGTTATTTTGCAAGAGTACGCGATAAGTATTCGTGAAGGAAAATATTTTCTAATACGGCTTATTTGATAATTGAGAAACTTGTTTTCGCGAGTGCATCGACTGTTGCGGAAGGTAAAGAGTGATTTCTCTTTTTTGCCAATCATCTTCTGTGACAGCGGTTAAATAATATTTTCTTTTTGCGGTCGTGGGAAACGTGAGAACGAATGGCGCGTGGTTATACGATACTTGCGTTTGTGTGGGCTTACCTGTTTCTTATTCGCAGAAAGGGAGGCCCAATCTATCTGCTACCTAACGAATTGGTCTCACAGAAGGCCAGGGGCTGGGAAATTTATGCCTGAGGACATCGATCCGAGTCTCTGCACCCATGTGGTCTACGCGTTTGCCACCTTGAAAAATCATCTACTCGTGGAGGAGAGCGACAAAGACGCGGAAATGTACAACAGACTGATTGCTCTTCGCGAGAAAAACCCTGATATCAAGGTAAAATCTTTTGTAAGGTGTCATAAAATTCTTTTTTTATTTTTGTGTGACACAATATTCTTCAAATATCTATCCTTCGAGAAATAGGGACAAAAATTTAATTTTTTAAAATAAATATATTATAGTGTTTTATCCATTTAATTCACAGAAATCTTGAAATTGTCGATTATGCTTAAAACATTCCGTAATTCAATTATTTTAGAATTTAAGCATTTCGGGATCGAAGCATTTTGCGTTTTCAACATTTATGGGTTGAAACATTCTAGGTTGAAATGGTTTAGAAATTAATTCCAATTTAATTCCGAATCAATTTGGATTGGACTGACGATATAACTTAATATAATAATATAAACAGCATAATTCCATGAAGCAAAAAATCGTAATGTCAATTAAAAAAGAAAAATATAAAATGGTCCCTAATAATAAATAATCACTTTACTTTACAGATATTGTTGGCAATTGGTGGTTGGGCTTTCGGTTCTACGCCATTCAAAGAGCTGACCAGTAATACTTTCCGAATGAATCAATTCGTCTATGAGGCCATTGATTTCTTGAGAGAATACAAATTCGATGGCCTGGACGTCGATTGGGAATATCCTCGGTAAGTGAGACAAAAATATTCGCATCTGTTAAGCATTTACAACTCATTTGTTAAGAATCTCTGGTTTGGAGTTTCTGTTTCTGTTCCTGTTCTGAGATCAATATTAACATTTTTGCACCAGGGGTGGAGATGATCGAACAGCTTATGTAAATCTTTTGAAAGAGCTCAGACTTGCATTTGAGGGCGAGGCGAAGAGTTCTGGCCAACCGAAATTAATTTTATCGGCAGCCGTACCTGCCAGTTTCGAGGCTATCGCGGCAGGGTAAGTTTCCTGCTCTAAATTGCGAACAACATAAAATTTGATTTGTAACCAAACCGTCTGTAACGAAAAATAGCGATGAGGATGATTTCAATTTAACAAACCAGATCAAAATTCGACTAATTAACAAAAATCACATTCTTTTCTTTTGTTCTTCTATTCATTTTATTCTTTGCAAAAATAGGTTTAATACACAATTTGGTGTGTGCTTTAGATACGATGTGCCTGAAATATCGAAGTACCTGGACTTCATTAACGTCATGACGTACGACTTCCACGGCCAATGGGAGAGGCAAGTCGGTCACAACAGTCCTCTATTTCCTTTGGAAAGTGCTACCAGTTATCAGAAAAAATTGACAGTCGTAAGTATAAATTTACAGGACAAATTACTTTCTATTACTTCGAAGCCTAAATTGATATTATCTTTCAATCTAATTGTACAGTAACAGAGAAGGGCAGAATATTACTAAAATAATTTATGGTGAATAAACCTCTGCAATTTATACAGAATAGTTTCCCAAATTTCCACTTAACAATTGCTCAAACTTAAACTGAAGTTCGATATTTATTGTTAGTTGCTCAATTTATGTACACGATATATTTTACAATTCTTTTTCATTGATAAATTAGCTACATGTTATAATTGTATATTTAGGATATTATTAATATGTGTATTTACGCTACAGGACTATAGCGCGAGGGAATGGGTAAAGCAAGGCGCTCCAAAAGAAAAGTTGATGATCGGTATGCCAACTTATGGCAGGTCCTTCACATTGGTGGACAAGGATAAGTTTGACATTGGAGCACCAGCTTCTGGGGGAGGAACGGCTGGAAACTTCACCAGCGAATCAGGATTTCTTTCCTACTACGAGGTACCACGATTTATCAAAGGTTCCATATTTAATGCAACATACTCTACGTATCTGGACAATACGTACAATTAAATGTTTAGGTGTGTGGCTTCCTGAACGAAGATAATACTACTCTAGTCTGGGACAGCGAACAGCAAGTACCTTTCGCGTACAGAGACGACCAGTGGGTTGGATTCGATGACGAAAGAAGTCTCATAAATAAGGTGACGAAAATTAAAGTCTTTAGGAATTACTTCTTCGTTAGAAGAAGTAATAAAACACAGAAAGTTCATTGGTAGACTACTTCAAATTGATTTTGACAGAAATATTTCTTGAAAAATATGTAATTTTAGATTTTGATATAATGTATAACGCTATACAGGGTCTCTACGTATAAGTTCGGACATACGCAGGGTGTCAATTCAAACCCGAAGTTAATTTTAAAGTGACATCGCGATTTTTGTTGAAAAATATCGATTTTTAACTAAAAACCCACGCTTTTCTGGATTTAAACGTCATTTTCTCCCTAAAATACTCATCGTACAAGTTTTTTTGACAATACCGTTCAAAAGCTGAGACTTTGAGGTAGTTTTTCCCGTAGAGTGCCCACTAAACAACTATGTGTTTGCAACCGAAAAACGAATACAGAAAATGTCAAATTTTTTGAAATTTTCACAATGTAAAGTTTAACCTAATTTTTCACGTATTCAATCTTCGTAATAAATTTTGGTTTTGTATCAGGGAGTTGGGAAATTTAATCCTCTTTCGAATGGTATACTTAGTTTTAAGTTTTCACTGTAATTTGGTGGAGTTATGGCCGTTTAAAGATTGTCAAGTCGAAAACGCAGAAAAAAAATTAAAAGTGAAAGTACTCGAGAACAAGGCAACACAGAGAAAATGTCTAAGAGTAATTTTTTGTTGGAAATTTGTTGTAGAATTGACACCCTGCATATGTCCGAACTTGTACGTAGACATCCTGTATATTGAATTGACGTTGGTATAATTTTAAATAAAACGAGAGTCATAAAATAATTAATCATACTAAAGTGAGAATTTAAACATTTTTTATTTGAATATAATTATAATAATGCACGATAATGACACTGTGTATGTTTTTACGCTAGATGCAATGGCTGAAGGAAGAAGGTTTCGGAGGCATAATGATATGGTCGGTGGACATGGACGACTTTAAAGGAACTTGCGGGGGTGGAAAGTATCCACTGATCAAAGCTATGAGGAAAGAACTGCAAGATTACAAAGTTAAACTAGAATACGACGGCCCTTACGAAAGCAACGCGAGAAACGGGAGGTACACCACCAAAGATCGTAAGTATTTACATGACTTATAACTTATATATAACACTTAGTTACATAATTATTTGTCTGAACTGGAGCACAATCGCTATCATAAATTTGTTCAATACATTGGTACCAAAGACTATTTCTACTAGGCAATGCTCTTGAAATTATGTTAAATTAAATGAATTTTTCAAACAAGGAAGACTTTTTTAAACAATATAACTTCAAATTCGTGTAAACAAAGAGATAACAGAAAAATTAATAATTCCAGCAAACGAAGTGACCTGCGACGAGGAGGACAACCACATATCTTACCACCCCGATAAAAATGATTGCACTATGTATTACATGTGCGAGGGCGAGAGGAAACATCACATGCCTTGCCCAGTGAATTTGGTCTTCAATCCAAACGAGAACGTCTGCGATTGGCCCGAAAACGTCGAGGGTTGTTTACATCACACGCAAGCGCCACCAGTGTAAACAAGAACGAAAGAAAAGGGACAAGAATTACTATATTTATGGGTATTTCCTCGCGGCTGTACCATAAAACGCGAAATTACGCGCGATATAGAAATATCAACGAATATTCGCGATACGTCGAATGGAATGGTAGTTTATCATCGAGGCTTTCCCGTGAAATTTACTATTCTCCGTGTTTCACGTACCTTTCCTTTCTCGTCTTCCCTTTCCTCTGTTCTCTCACTCGTCCCTTTGTATCGTTCGGTTCTTTGTCTCCCTTTCGCGTACGTGTGCGCATCCGCCTTGCGCACGGGCGAATTCTCTCCGCCTTTCTTTGTCATTTGTATAAAACGCACATTAACTACCGTGACAAATTACTTTTTTTTTTGTAAATAAAAAAATTGTACGAAATAAAGAGAATGGTGAAATTGTTGTATCTCGTACGCGATGAACGTAGAAATAGCCTCCAATTATTATTGTAAAGTGGACAACGCGAGCAACGAGAGGGAGTAAAAGGTATGAGTAGCGTTAACTAGTTCGTCCTTTTATTTTGTAACTTTACATAAAAAATCACGACTTGTTGTTCGTACTTGGTCGTATTATGTTTAGTTTAAGCTCGTCTATGTTCTCATTTTCTTTCCAAGTCCGACGAGAATAATTATGCAGGATACGTGTCTAATATCCACGATCCATTCTTGGTAACTTGTTTGCTCCTTCGATAGTTTTAATGATACTTTTATTCCCAAAATTTTCTTGGATATTTTTAGCGGTAATTGGACATTTAGTATCCTAAAATGGACTACACATAGTAGAAATATAATTACAAAATCGAGCTGATCTATGTTACAGTTTAATACAAAGTTTTATCGAAACAGTTTCCTTTATTTTTTTAGGGAAATAGCAGTTATAAGTGGATAAACATATCATTGGTATTAAACTTGATCCCATTTGTAAAAATAACAGTTCTGGTACGTACGTTCTTAACGAGTGACTAACTTTCATCGTCTTTTTAAAAACGTTCAGAGAAAGGACCTCACAAACAAAGTAAAGGATTCTTTCTCCATTATTCCAATAGCTTATTAAAAATTAACAATAATGAATTTTTATCCAATTCCAACCCTCTTCAGAAACTATGGAACGTTAAAATAGAAAATGCCTCGATAATCGTAAAGGCTGATTCGATGGAGAACGTAAAATCAATTGACTATTGTCGTTAACAGAATAATGTGAACGATAGCCAACCACGTGGTGGCGAGTCTCTCATAGTTGCCAGAGCTAAGCGCAGATGCTTGACAGGCGGTGTGTGGGGTTCCCAGGGTCAGCAGAACTTTATCTGACGAATAAGATGGCGTGGTCTCGGTGCAAACTGCTCTTCCAGCGATCATTCTCAATTGCCTGGCATCCGACTGGGAAGCTGTGTGAATCTGTCGCGACTCGCGAAGCCATCTTCTTAGCCACAGACTGAGCCAGGCGATTTCACAATCGCATTCGAGGGGGTTCCCTGATACCTGCAACCCTCCTAACAAATAAAGGTTCACACGTGTAGATTTTCAAATGATTTTTAATGGATTTTAACAATTACATTCGTATTTTTAATATACAAAAAAATTTGTCTTTAAAATAATAATTTATTAATTAAGTAAAATATAATTTTACTTAAATGACATTCATTCAAAATATTTTATGTAGTTTAAATAATTAACGAGTTGCAATATTTAAACTAAATGAAATATTTCGAGTGAATGTCATTTAAGTAAAAATAAATTATTTTCTTTCTGTTCCGATAATTTACAGTCTCAATATAATATTCCTAGTCTTCGCTATAATTATGTTTCCATAGCAATTAATTTACCAATTAATTTACTTACCAGCAACCATGTTGGTCCCAACACTTTCCCACGAGAGATTCCCGTAGATAATCGAAGGGCTCAGCTCGTTTATATGATTATTTCTCAGGTCCAGAGTGAGCTGAGACAGTGTCTTCGTTAAGGACAGGAAAATATCCGACTGTAATCTGCGAACTCGCGTGTCCTTGATCCGCAGGATCAGTTCACCGCCTTCGATGGTGGAGAACGCTTCCGAAGAAATCACTTCTAGATCATTACCGGAAATCGTCAGCTCCCTGAGCTGCTTCGTAAAGGCGTTCTGTATCTGGTGCTTCAGCAAGTGCTCTGTAACTTGTATTTCCACGGTTCTCAAGGGTAAACCAGTCAGCAGGTGTCGAAGATGAAAGCCATCCGCTTCGGGCCACGTTTGAATTCGAAGATGCTTCAGGTATTTCAAGACGCGGAGGCAGTCTTTGTCAACCGACCTCGTTTTGTTCAAATTCCTTAGCTTCAGGTCCTCCAACCTCGGGTAACCCATGAAACTCTCCTTTGTTAGTTCCTAAAGCAAATCGTTAATCCAATGTCAGCTCTAAACTGAATCATGTTGAGTTCTTGTAGTTTGAATGTTGCTTTTGGGTGACTACTTGTTGGAAATAATAATAATAATATTCTTTCAGTATACAGTGTAATACAAAAACTATGTAAAATTGTAATTTATTAAATTATTTTTTATAAACAATGACATTCTACATATTCTCGGAAATCTCTAGAATAGACAGATTACAAAAAAAGAATAGGTAGTTATGTAAGTTGCGAAATTAACAAGAAAAGAACGATTAATCGATAGAAATATTGAAGCAATAAGTATTCGCACAACTGTTCAATTGTTAAAACTGCATTAAAAAAAAGAAATTTACATTCATTTATAAGTACATAATACTTCCTTCGTGGGATTTCCTTTTGATTTTATAATTATTGTAACTTTTCTAAGGATTAAATTAACTAAATTATTAGTTATTCGGAGTGGGATCTTTTTCTATTAGAGCCATTTTTAAAAGTACTTTACTGGAAATTTGATGTTTTCTAATTCGTACGGAGCAATAAACTAATGTGTTTATGTTACAAACTCTACTGTAAATGGTTCGCCATAAGAATTGTACAAATACTTATTACTTCTATACTTTTACCCACTTTTCGCATTTTTTTGTTAATTTCACAAATTATATTAACTAGTAAATGTTGTTTGAACTATATCTATCTTAGAGACTTCCGAGAATATGTAAAACATCATTGATTATAATAAAGGTAGTTAAGAAACTACAATTTCCCTCAAATTATTGGGGGAAGTTGATCGGTGTACGAATACATTCTACATCCACTGTATATGATGAGTAAACTTCTTTACTTTTTACCTGAGATATCTACGTTGTTTTAACCAGTAAGTAGTTTAAATACATTACTGCCTCGAATTTGTTATTTTCGGTATTTTAAAGTATCTTTTTATTCAAAAATAAACTTCTAAATCTATTTCCCCCCTTAAGTTTACCTCTCTGACCTTGTCTCTATACACCTCACTTCTCTTAAAAGTACCCTTCCAGTGTTGTACACCCATTTATACTAACTTTCTCAAATCTTAGAAACTCGTAAATTCTAAATCCATGTTTACCAATGTGTTCAAGCTTATTCTGACCAATTGGAACATTCCAACGTGAACGTAAAAAGTAACAATGAAAGCAAAAGACCTAACTACAATCCTTCTCCACAGCTCACCTCTATCGGATTTCCAGAAACGTCCAGCTCCCTCAAAAGATTCAACTTGACATTCGGCATAGAGGTCAGCGAGTTGTTCACCAACAGAAGAACCTTAAGATCCTTCAGGAACTGAAACTGCTTATCAGACGTCGAGTCTATGTAGTTAAAAGACAAGTCCAGGACGTTCAAATTCGTCAGAGGTAGAAGAGGTATGTCTTTGAGGCCGCAATTGATGAGAAAGAGCTGCCTCAGGCCAGGCAGGTAGTGGAAGAGCTCCTTGAAGTTTGCTTGAAGAACGTTCTGGGACACGTTCAGTCTGAGAAGCTTCCCCAGTGACACGAACGAATTGTCTGGCAGGATCGTCAGTCTGTTGTGTGCCAGATTCAAGGAGACCAATTGGGAAGTGGGGAACGCGGTGGAGTCGAGGTGATCCACGAAATTGTCTGCCAGATCTAGATCCCTCAACGTGTAACCGACTTCGAAGAACGAGGGCGAAGGGACCACGGTGAACTTGTTGCGACTCAGATCAAGTATCTCCAGTTTCGTCCCCTCGAACACGTCCTTAGGCAAGGATCTGATTTTATTGCCAGAGAGATTTAAAATCCGCAGGTTCTTCAGGTTTCGAAACTGCTCGGTAGACAGTTGAGTCAGCTGATTCTCGCTTAAGTCCAACAGCTGCAGCAAACCTAAGCCATGGAAAGACTGCTTCCTCAGGCTCTCTATCTTGTTGTTCTGCAGATTCAACGTCTCCAAACGACTCAAGCCGAAGGTACCTAGAATATTGCAATGACTGAAACATGATCTTCGTTAGGGAGCAGTCGATTAGAAAATTAGTTTGCTTGGAAAGATTATGAAAAGTCTCATTGTAGGCTCGGAGATGTTATCTATAAACGTACGTGTGCAAAATATTCAGAATATTCACAACTCAAATTTGACATAATTTTTTGTTGTTTATATGTAGGAGATTTATTATATTAGGTGGACTGGAATGTAACGTCGTTTTTGTGATTTTAAATACTTGTTTATCATTCATCAGCTCATTGATTTTTATCGATTTGGCAATGGAAATTTGCATACAAAATGTAAACAGACCGTGGATAACGAGGGCGATTACATAATCGAATGAAAATAGAAATTTGTTAAAAATTTATTTATTTGAAATTAATGTAAAAGAAGCGACATTATGTTCCAGTTTACCTAATACTTTGTCTTGTGCATGGAACGAGTCACTGAGGAGAAATAAGGGTAAAAAAATATGATTCTTGCATAGACTACAACGTGTCTTCATGAATTTCAGATATTCAGATGTTTCCTTCTACCTGGTTCCAGGACGACGATAAAGTTGTTTCTCAGGTCCAAACTTCTGAGGTCCGGTGCATTGTAAAATGTATCAGCAGGCAGTTGGCTGATGTTGTTGAAGCTCAAATCCAGCCTCGTTAAATTGTTCATCGAGCTTCCAGCATTGACGACTGAAATCGCGTTATAAGAAACGTTGAGGGCGAAATCCGGTCCACCTATCTCTGCGATTGCGTCCAAGTCCAAAGTGGTCAATTTGTTGAACTCCAGGTGCAGGAAACGCAGATTAGGAAGTCCATAGAAGGCGTTCTTCTCCATTTTGAAGATTCTGTTGTAAGCCAGCGATAACGTCACCAATCTTGGGCAATCCACGATGGATTCGGGGCTGAGAACTTTTATTCGATTTCCGGTTAGATCTAAGGACTTCAATTCGGTCAAATTGTGGAAGCTGAAGTCTGGAATGGCCTCCAGGAAATTGTAACCGAGCTTAACGTCCCTCAGTTCGGGATGGACGCTCGCTAAAAATATACGTTCCGGTAGATAATGAAGCCGATTCGACTCC